TCTTTCTCTCTGTTTTTTGTTTCTTCTTTCTTGTGGTTTCTCCCATTGGTTGTAATTCTTTTTTCCAACATGACTAATGTGAAAATAGGTTTAATATGAATGTATATGTCTAGCCTATATCAATTTACACACAGTCTTGGGGTGGGGGGAGGGGGAGATGAGGAGAACATTTGGAACTCAAAATCTTATGGAAGTAAATGTTGAAAACTAAAATAAATAAATTTATATATAAAAAGATACGGTAGAAAAAATGAGTTAATTTTTTTTTTTGGTAATTGAATTTACTAGAAATAAGCATGAAACACATTCAGTTTGGCATTATCATTGGGTCTCTTTCCTCTTCAGTTCAAGAAAGCAGCTCTTCATGGTGGACTGACCCACTCTTAAGTTAGGCCTATGTTTCTAATTGAGTGATCTCTAGATCAGTGAGGAATTACTGTACCATGACATTTTATTGGAAAGTTTATGAGATAGATTAACCTCCTCTTTTCATTGCCAGTGCTTTAAAATATCCCCAAAGTCCACTGACAACTTCTTATCTTCTGGTTTCATAATCAGAGGAAGAGAGTTGTGAATGAAAGCTTCCTCTTGAATCAGTGCCCATTGGTGACACGTGGTGGTGTTATCAGATATCTGTATCCTGGCATGGATTCCTGTTTAGCTCATTGGAGTCTTGGAATGCACTTAAATATTACTGCAACCAACATCTGTAGCCCATTTGTGCATGCTTAGCTTATACTGTTTTTCTATCTGGTTATAATTTGTGTTCTTTATGGTGTTCAGAGAAATAACAAAGACATCATGAGGCCAGGATACTCACAGAATCACAGAAGTTGAGATTTGGAAACAACCTCAGAAGTTACCCAGTTCTGTGCATCCCTGAATGCGAATCGCTTCTATGGCAGACAAGATAGTAGTCACCTCATCTTTGCTGTTAACCTTTGACTGCAGGAGAACCCATTCATTTTTGAGGCAGCTCATTTCAGCTTGGTGATGTAAGGTAGTTTTGCATTACATCAAGCCTAAATTTTCCCTTACTACTCTCTGAAATTCCCATCTATTGTTCCTGGTTTTGCCTTTCTGGACCAAGCAGAACAAGTCTAATCTTTCTCTCTTCAGATACTTAAAACACTGCTATCTTATTCCCCTCTGTCTTCTCTTCTTCAATCTAAATATCTCTTGTTCTTTCAACTGATGTTCAAATGGCATGATTTCAAGGGCTCCCACCATCGTAGATGGTCAGCTCTCAGAGGTTAGATCTCAGAGGCTATCCACTCAAACCCCTTCCTTTCACAAATGAAGAAACTGAGGCCAGGAAAGTTAAGTGACTTGCTCGATCACACAAATATTATGGGATGGTGGCATTTCAACCCAGGTCCCCTTACTCCAGAGCCAGCACTCTTTCCACTGTACCACATTGACTCCTGATGCATATCTGGTCACTGGACCCAGATGGCTCTGGAGGAGAAAGTGAGGCTGGTGATCTTGCACAGCCTTGCCTCACTCAAATCAAAGTCAGTTGCAAGTCATGCCGTCATCTCCCTGATGTCATGGTCGTCTTTGAGAGCTAAGGACAAATGCAACCTGTGAGTAGTCCCGAGCTGCCTGAATAGGGACCCAGCTAGCCAGTTCCAGTTGGATAATTCAGCTTGTTGTCCCCTCTCCCTCTCTGTCTCTTTCTCCCTCTCGTCTTCCTTCTCCTTTCTAGGGTTTACTGGCTACATTTCCTTCTCAAAGATGGAGCCTTAAACCCAATGCACTCTGGAGCTCATAGATTGGACAAGAATAGGTCCCTGCCCAAGCACCACTTAATGATTATTTTTTAGGCCCACCTCGCTCAGAGTGGATGTACATAGTGACTCTTTCTCTTTTGGCCAGTAACCCTGAGGGTCTTCCCCTGCCAGTTTGATTTTTTTAAACTAAAGGGGCCATCCCTAGACTCACTTCTTAAAGAGGCTTATCACTTGAATGGGCGTTACCTCATTCAAAGTGAAAATCTGAAAAGACCTTACCTCATTACATCTTGGGCCATCTTCAGTCATCCTGAGCCAATATCTGGCCACTGGACCCAGATGGTTCTGGAGGAGAAAGTGAGGCTGGTGACCTTATACAGCCCTCTGTCACTCAAATCAAAATCAATTGCAAAGTCATGTCATCATCTCCCTGATGTCATGGTCCTCATCAAGAACACAGGACAAATACAACAATTGACTCCTTACTTGAATGCTCACTATCTTATCAATGTCATTCCTGAAATATAGCCCCTACAACCGAATACAGTGGTCTCTTTATATGTTGTCTAATAACGGAAGAGTGTATCATGACTATCATCTCCTTAGTCTTGAACACTAGAATGGAAATCCATTCTACATTTTTTTCTCCCCTCCCCTTCTCTTCCCATTATACTTTTTTTTGGGGGGTGGGGCAGGCAATGGAGTTAAGTGACTTGCCCAAGGTCACACAGCTAGTAAGTGTTATGTGTCTGAGGCTGAATTTGAACTCAGGTCCTCCTGACTTCAGGGCTGGTGCTGCGTCACCTAGCTGCCCTAGAATGGAAATCTAAAGCAACGCTTATAATAGAGTTTCTTTTATAAAATATTCTTTATCATGGAGTGATGGGATTCTTATCATGCAGTACTCAGAAAGATCAGTAAATACATATCCCAGAAAGTAATAACATGCATGAGATTTGTCAGGGGGCACATTGGTTAAGCAACCCACATATATATTGAACTTAGGAGAATTATTCTTTTTTAGGTGTCTTAATGATTCACATTGGCTTCACTAGGATGTGAAACAGAATAATATTTAGTCTAGAGCAAAAGGTTATATGTCTGACTACCCTCTTGGAGGCAAATTCATTCTGTCCAGACACAAGGGTCAATAGTTCATATTATCTAGATATGATATTATCTGGCTGAGTAAATGATATTCCCAGTGTGGATGCTTTACAAACAAATATCATGATAATAATAAAGCTGATATTGGGAGTTGAATTATTTAGGTATCAAACAAACATGCTTGCAAGGTTTTTTTGGGAAAAAGTTGTGACCCTGTTCCCACAAGTCTCGTTCTAACTCCAAGCACGTTCATATTTCTTCTGTTAGCAATGAAGATGGTGTCATCCTGAAACAGAATTCAGGGATGGTGATGAAAATCACCCTAAGGTATCTTTTAAACATTCACACACACACACACACACACACACACACACACAAACACTGAAAAATACGACTTAGAGGATCATCAGTTTTTAGGGTTGGAAAGGACTGTTTTTGTAATAACTGGGCCATTTAAAAAATGGGTATGGACAACAACAACATTACAGCTAACATTTCTACAGCAATTTAAGATTTGTGAAGTGTTTTATATATTGTTCCTCATTTAATCCTCACAAGCTTATGAAAGAGCTACTATTTTTATTCCCCTTATATAGCTGAATAAATTGAGACCCAGAGAGATTAAGTAACTAGTACTGGGTCACATAGCTAATGAAGCAGGATTTAAACTTAGGTCTTCCTGGTTACCAAGTTCAGTGCTCTATTCACTACACTATCTAGAAGTGAAGTGACTTTCCCACAGTTCCTCAGATATATCAAAGCCAGAATTTAAATGTAGGTTTCCAGGCTCCAAATCTGGTGTTTCCCTCTATTCCCTGCTGACAAGAACAATGCTGTAGGCTCTGGGCACAGAGTATCTAAAGAACTGCATGGATTTTACGAGAAGTCAGACATGGAAAGGAAGGGACTTCCAGTGACAATGGCTTCTTTGCTGATCCTCATGCAGGACACTCTATCTTCCAATTCCACACATTTTTTCTGGCTGTCCCCCATGTTTGTGATTTTCTCCCTCCTTATCTCTGTCTCCTGACTTCCTTCAAGATTCAGCTAACATTCCACCTTTTGCAAGAAGCTGTTCCCAGTACTCCTTATTCTTTGTGCCTTCCCTCTGAGATGCCCTCCCCCATTTTATCCTGTACATATTTTTTTTTTTTTTTGGCAATTGGGGTTAAGTGACTTGCCCAGGGTCACACAGCTAGTAAGTGTTAGGTCTGAGGCTGGATTTGAACTCAGGTCCTCTTGACTTCAGGGCCGGTGCTCTTTCCACTGCACCACCTAGCTGCCCCTATCCTGTACATATCTTGTTGGTACACTGTTGCTTGCATGTTATCTCCTACCTTAGACTGTGAGCTTCTTGAGAGTAGGGGCTGTTTTATTTTTGTTTTACCTTTCTTTGTATACCCAGTGCTTAGCACAGTGCCCAGCACATACTAAGCACTTAATAATGCCAGTTGTCTGACTGACTGACTTGCCCAAGGTTACACAGATGGTCTTGTCACATGTGGAATTATGAACCCCAGTTTTCTGATTCCAGATCTGGTGCTTTCCTCCACATCCAGAATTGCAGTTATCTCAGATTAATTTAGTTATGTTTGATTTAACTTTTATACAAAATTCACTTTTTAAATGCTAAGTTTCCATAGTTTGTTACTCTAGTAGACTGGCTATCTCCTTGCAACTCAAAACAATTGTCAAGAAAATTGGGTGAGAATATTATTATTTTTATTCATCCTTCTCTTAAAACTATATAGATGCTACCAGGCAGTAGCATATTCAAGCTTGGAATTCATATAAGTAATTAAATCTAGAATAAATCAGTATCTGTTGATATGTTCTTAAGCAAATCATTACTATCATCAAAACCCTGGGTATATGACTATATGCATATATGATTATATGCATATATTCCTGCCAACAGCAAATTTTCATCATGACAAATAATTATACAATCACAGAATTTCAGCATTGGAAGGGACCTCAGTGGCTGTCCGATTCAGCCTATACCTGAACAAAAATCACCATACACCGCATACCTAGTACTGTCCTATAGCTTTTGCTTAAAGACTTCCAAAGAAGGGGAAATCATGATCTCTTGAGGTAGTCTCTTCCACTTTCAGGCTGTTTTAATTGTTGGAAAGTTTTTCCTTATATTTATCTTAAATTTGCTTATGTGCAACTTTTACCCATTACTACGGGTTCTGACCTCTGGGATCAAGTGGACAAATCTAATACTTTTTACAAATGACAGCCCCTCAAAAACTAAAGGCATGTAACAAATCCCCTTCTCTTAAAACCCTTCCCACCATGACTTTTCTTCAAGCTAAACAGTCCCAGTTCTTTTTTTTTACTTTAAAATAACATTGTATTAATTTCTTATTTTTTTTTTATCACCTGCATTTCCTAATGTTTCCTTTTGCCCTACCCCAGACAGACTTTTCTTATAACAAAGAAATAAGGAGATAAGGATAGGGACTTGACCTGTGATTACATTGGTATAGTGAACTCATAGATGTGCATCTTCTCTTATCTCATCTTCTCTTCATCTCACAGTTTTGGAGAGTTTCCCAGAGCACTGACTTGCCCAGAGTCATATGGACAGTATATGTTAGAGGCAGGACTTGAAGACAGTTTTTCTTGGCTCCCAGGTCAAGTTTTCTCTATGCTTTGCTGCCACCAAGAATTTTTAAAAAGGGGAAAAAAGTTCAGCAAAACTGACCAACATATCAAAAAAGTTGGACATTATATGATGTGTTCTTTGCCTCTAGTTCCTAAAATCTATAAAAGGGAAGGGAAAAATGTCTTTTTATCTATTCTTTTGGGCCAAGCTTGATCCACATCCAGGTCTTTCAACTAATCCTTACACGGCTCCAGACCCTTCACCACCTTGATGGCCCTCCCTGGTTTCTTTGCTGCTTACTGATGTCATTCATAAAATGAACCCAGAACTGAACAGGATATTCCAGTTATAACCTGTTCAAGCAAGAATGAAAACAGACTATGACATCCTCATCTCAGCAATGCTTAAGAGAACATTAGCCTTCTTGCCAGCCATATCATACTGTTGACTCATAATAACCTTACATCTTAATATCTGAATCCACCTAATGAAAACTAAAACTGTTCTTTTACCTTGGGTAAATCACTTCATTTCCCTGGTTAAGCCTCAGTTATCTTATTTAGAAAATGATGCGGTTGAACTAGTTAACTTGTATGATCTTTTTTTAAAAACCAGTTTGATTCTGTAAATGAAGGGTATTATACATTGATAATTGAGTCCATCCTGGATTCTGGGAAATTTGCAACTTGATATCATCAAAAGATGCAGATACATGTTCTGTACTTTGAGTTTAGCAGATTGATAAATGGATCAACAATTATTTCTCTTTATTGTCAGTCTCAGACATCTGGTAAGCATCTGATCAAAATATTCAAAGGGATTTTCTACCTGATTGCCTCAGTTTTTAGATGTTGCTAATTATTTCTATTAGCAATAATTGTTATTTGATGAATTTTGTTTTATAAGAAAAAACATTTGTTTTTATTGGCTCCATCTTTAACAAAAATATTTCTGGGAGGAGGGTGCAGTACATGCTTAATTCTCTTAGATTTTTAGAGTTTGGAATAGTCCTTAGGCTAACCTCCCACTGCCCTGGTAAAGATGAAGAAATTCAGGCTCCAAGAAGCCACATCATTACTGAACAGCAGAGGCTGGACTATAGAACCCAGGTCCCCTGACTTTCAGCCCAGTATTATTTCCTGAAACAGTACCACTTCCATAGAGTAGTATGAAAAGAAAAAAATTCATATGTATATATATGTATGTATGTATATATATATATCCTACAGTAGGATAGCTTATCCTTGATTTGGAGATTCCTTTGTACTAGCCTAGCAAATCTGGATACAAGTATATCTTGATTTCATTTTAATTGAAATTTTAATATTTTGTTTTTTAGTATCAAACATTTTTTTTTCTCCTGCCTCCCTCCATTCACTGAAGAAAAGAGAAAGAAATTTAGAACTTTTGTGTCAATCACATAATCACAGTCAAGAAAAACATATTCCCTCATTAATAATAGCCTAAAATATGCTTGTTTATTCTGCATGTTAGTCTATCACCTCTCTGTCATGAGGTGGACAGAGTCCTTCTTTATCTGGTCTTGGGAATCATTGTTGATCATTTAGTCAATCAGGGCCTTTCAAAATTGTTCATTTTTATAGTACTGATTTTGTAGTACAAATTGTTCTCCTCGTTCTGCTTACTTTATTCTATATCAGTTCATACGCTCTTTCCATGTCTCTTTCTTTATTCCTTAAAGCACAATAGCATTCTATTACATTCACATACCACAATTTGTTTGTGGTCTCTCAGTTTTTGTTACCACATAAAGAGCTGCTACAAAAGTGTTTGTATCCATAGGACCTATTATAACACCTACAATCATTATAGCCACATATTTTTATAAGTCCTCTCAGTGTTCTTTGTTCCCTGGAAGTCCTAGCCGTGGTGCCTCATTATGCTGTTGAGCATGAGCTCAGCAGTCCTGTCATACTGGCAGAGTTTCAGGTCTGAGTCTGGCTGTTAATTGTGAATCTATCATCTGAGGACCAACATGGACCAAATTTGGAGAGGCTTATGAGCCACAAGCTGGCCACTCCATCTTAGTTTGAGGGATAAGGAGGAAAGGCAGCAGTTCAATCAGGAAAGCTGTCTACTCCTCCTCAAAGAGATATGATCCAGGTTAGTAGGAAGAATGTTTACACGAATAACACCATGGACCTCCTTTCCCACTGCCTCCCTCACATATAAAGGCTATTTGTATTACCAAAACATTTACTCTTTATTCCTTTGAATAGTGAGTTTGCCTAGGGCATTGACTATTGTTGTTGTTCAGTCATTTCAGTGTCTGACTTTTTGACTCCCCATTTGGAGCTTTCTTGGAAAGAACTGGAGTACTTTGCCATTCCCTTCTCATTTTACAGATAAGGAAAATGAAGCCATTGAGGTTAAATGACTTGTCCAAGATCACACAGCTAGGCCAAATTTGAACTCATGGAGATGAGTCTTCCTGACTCCAGGCTTAGCATTCTATCTACTATACTACCTAAAAAAATCTGACCTACACACAGCTTTGCAGGAATAGAACTCTCCTGTTAGTCAAGGCAATTGAATTGTCCTTAGCTTGTGGCTTAATGGTCAAATGAACAGACAGAATACTAAGGAGCAGCTGAAGGCTAATCTTGGCCTTCCTTATTCTGAAGAAGTCCAAAATTCATTCTCTGAGTTGAATTTTCAATATTTCTTGAAAACCTTATTTGATTTCTGCCAAATTTCTTTGGACTTCAACTTAAATTCTTCCAAGCCTTGGGGCTGTGTCATTTTGCACAGCTGGCTTTAAGGATCAAAAACAGTTTTTAGCTTGAAGAGTATCCTGATCCTCCCTACAAATGTTTCTAATTGCTCAAAGGATGTGACCACAGACCCCAGAGGGTAGGTGTTTGGGTGCCTGAAATGTCCTTACTTCTGAAAGACTTTGTTTCTAAAGAAAGGATGTGTGCTTGACTTCCACAATTTCTCTCATTTTTTAACACATTCAAGTGGTTTCTCAGTTTTTTAAAACAGCAACTATTACAAACCAAGCTTGGAGAGTCTGACATGGATGCTGGTAGTAGCCCTAAACTATAAAACACCTTACATTTTTATAGCTTGCTTGTAAAGTCTGTATTGTCCTTCACATACATTTTCTCCTTTGAACATCACAATCTTATGAGATAGACCTTGCAGGCATTATTTTCCCAATTTTTACACATGAGGAAACTAAGGTTTAGAAAGGTGTTATAATTTTCCCATGATCACATTGTAAGTGTTTGAGTTGGAATTGGAACCCATCTTCCCGTGGAGGCAGGGAGGCATAGTAGAAAGAGTATGGGCTCTATAGTCACTGAACTTAGGTTTGAATCCCAGCTTTGATTCTTATTACCAATATGATCTTCGATAATTCAGTTGATTTTTCTTGTCCTTAGTTTCCACATCTGTAGAACAAAGGGGTTGGAATAGATGGCCTCCAAAGATTCTTCCAGCTCTGGATCTAGGATCATACATGATCTTATTGTAACCCTGCTGCTACCTTCCCCCATCCAGCTTAGTTCATGATGTCCATGCTATGGATGAACAACCTTCACCCCCTAGACACCATAACAAAGACAGGACCTGTCTCAGAGTGTTCGTTTTAAAGACACAACAAATTCTGGCTATCCAGCTAGCTAACTGAAAGAGGTTACCACTATCTACATGGTAGGGGAATGCCAAATGTCTTCTTCCAGGAGAAGGTGTCTGAAGTCTCCTAGAAGGGTGCCTCAATTTAAGGTGATCTGGGCCAGTAGTTCTAAACACAACATTCTATTTACAGTTTCTTGTTGTCCATTCCTCTAAATTTATGGTTTATGCAATGCTTTCTGATTGAAGCGAGGTTCCAAGATTATTCTGGGGTCATGCAGTCGTGAGCATCAGAGCCAGCTCCGGATAATAGGGCTTTTGTCTCTGAGTCTCCTACTTTATATTGCTTTTTAGTTATGAATAGAATTTTCTAGTGAGGTTATATTTTGGAGAGGCAGTCCAACTAAATCTCAATTAACCACAAAGCTTGAGGATGGGGGTGGTGTGAAAGGCAAGTGGAGGAAGAGTAATGAATTATTCTTGTATTTTGATACTTCCACAGATCTGTGATCTCATCTTTGTCACTATCCCCATCAATGGTGTGAGTTATAAAACATCCCTATTGAATCATTCCATGTGACTCAGCCATTTCTTCTTGTAAATCTTCCCATAGAGACATTGCTTAATGGAGAGCTTCCTTGAGATCTCTTACCCTTACCACCACACCGGTACAACACAAGACACGTTCTGTTATAGCATGGTCTTTCTACATGACTGGCCCACCACCATATCTGCACATATATATATATACATATATATATATATATGTATATATATATACACACACACACACACACACATACGTATACAAACATATGTATATGTATATATACATATACACACACATATGTATATGTATATATACATATACATATTATTATATATATATATATATATATATATATATATATATATATATATAAAAATTGCTGATTCCTTTCAATTCAATTCAATTCAATTCAAACATGATATAGTGGAAGGAATGCCTCACATAACACTTGTGAATCTTATTTCCTATGTGATCTTGGGCAAATCACTCCATTTCTCTGGGCCTCAGTTTCCTCATCTATAAAATGAAGTGAAATGCACTAGATGGCATCTGAAGTCCTTTCTAGCTCTTGATATATAATCCTAGGATTCTGCTTTATGCAAAATAGTGTGCGAGGTGCCGGGGATATAATTGTACCAGCAAAGATTCCCTGCCCCTAAGGAACTTACATTCAAGGGGGTGGGTTGGGAACACTGAAGGCTTCATAGAAGAGGTATCTTCTGAGCTGAGCATTGAAGGAAGACAAAGACTCTGAAAGGAAGTAGATTGATTGATGATTAAGGATCAGGAAGGACCTTAAGAATATAACTGAGGATGTGGTGGATGAGGGAGATTGGATTGTCTCTGTAGTGATCCCAGGACAGATTCTGGAAAGTTAGTTTAAAAAAACCCAAACAAATGGCTCCTGCAGAGAGAGCAACTACAGTGGGCTGGCTATGTTGTTGGAATGCCAAAGGTAGGCTTGCCTGAAAGAGTATTTTATGGAGAACTCACACAAGGCAAGCACTCACGTGGTGGTCAGAAGAAGAGATGTAAGGACACTCCCAAGATCTCTCTTAAGAACTTTGGAATTAATTGTGTGACATGGGAGACACTGGCACAGGACCACCCAGCATGTTGTGCTCTCATCAGAGAAGGTGATGTGCTCTATGAGCAAAGCAGAATTGAAGTAACTCAAAAGAAATATGAGATGTGCCAATTTAGAGAATCCCCCCCATATGGACTGTTTGTGCCTGACCTGTGCTAGAACATTACAAGTTCATATTGGTCAGATTAACCACAGTCAGACATACTGTACCTTGACTCTGGCAGAGAATGAAGGACAACAACCAAACAACCAACCATTTTCCTGGAGCAAATCATTTCACCTCTTTGTTGCCTAGCATTCTCATCTGCAAAGTGAAGAGATTAGGTTAGAGAATATATAAGGTTCTTCCCAGCTCTGCAGCAGTATCAATGAGCCAATGATTTATTTTGTGTGGAATGATGTGGAGGATACCTATTCTTAAGGAATTTTTAGTGGAGAAAACAAAGTACAAAAGCCTAAGGTAAGAGGGAGAAGGCAGGAAGTACTTACTATGTAAGTAATCTGAGCATTCCAAGGACTAAGGGCTCACTTCTGGCTAGGAGATCACAGGAGGTTTCATGGCAGAGATGGCACTGGGACTGAACCTTGGAGGATGGGTCCCATTTTTGAAGGGCGAGGTTGTAAGGAAGATCAATTCAGGCAGATGGAATAATGTGAACAGAAGATGGAAAACAAAAACTTGACACACTCCTCTGAAGGATCTGTTAAGAATGAGAAAGCTTTTTTAATAACTGTAGGATAATAGAATGAAAGCTAGACAGTACCTTATAGGTTATGTAGCCCCAGCTAACTCTCCACTTTCCATTTACAGCTCTGCTTGGTTTGAACTCTAGGGAACATGAGACTTCACTGGTCCAAGTCTATCCTCTTTCCAGCTTCCTTTCTTGTATTGTTTTCTCCCATTAGATTGTATGATGCTTAAAGATAGGAACTTTCTTTTTCTTACTTGTAGTACAGTGCACATTGTAGGTGCTTAATAAATGTTTATTGAATTGACTTGAACCCCTAATTTTACAAATTGAGAAACAAAGGCCCAGAGTGGTATTAAGGGTATGCCGGTAAATGTTTAATGCTTGGCTCTCAAAAAAAAAAATTAAGTACTCACAATGCACTTTTAAGTTATGCATTAAGGGATTTGCCACAATCCCATGTCCTTTGACTCCAGATCCAGCACTTTTCTCACTGTATCTAGTCTTTGAGGCCGTGGTATATTGTTAAAAGAACAAGACAAGGGGCCAGGAGGCCTGGGTTCTGTTTCAATCTCTGTCAATAAGTAATGTATGGTTCTGGACAATTGGCTAACTTATTACAACATATATACATACATACATATATACATATATACATACTTTTTGGAAGCAGTGACTTTTTCATTTTTTCTTGCACTCTAGCTAGCTCAGTGCCTGGGACATAATAGGAATTTAATAAATATTGCTGATTGATTGATTTACTTATAAATAAGAGAGTTGAACTAAATGGTCCTTTACAACTCTAAAATTAAAAAACCCCAGAAATTTATGATTTGGGATATGCTATTACCTTTTCTTCTCCTTTGTATTTATTTTGACGAGAATTTTTTTAAAGTATCAAGTCTTACTGTCTCAGGCATCCTTTTTATTTCCCTCCTGTGCAGACATGTTGGCTCTGAAGTTGAGAGGTGAATTGTATAGTAAGCATTTATCAAGTGGGGTCTTGCTCCTTATCCCTGGAACAAGTGCTTCAGTCCCTTGTTTCCCTTTGGCTGTAGAAATGCCTGCCAAAAACAGATGTGAACATTATTACTCTATATGACTTCCTCAAAATCTAGGAAGGTAAGAGGTTTCATTTTTTTTTAAATTTAAAGAAATATGCCAAAATATCCAATTATTTTGTCACTGAAGCTCAATCAGACCAGGGAATCATAATATAATAATAATAATGTAATATAATAATAATTTTATTCTTTTTATGTATTTGTCCTTGTTGTTCTTCTAATTAGAATGTAAGCTCATTGCAACTAGGGATTATTTTGTTTATTGCATTTTTTTTAAAATTTACAGAGCCTGGTACAGTCCCTGGCACACAGCAGGCATTTAATAATTGTGGTTTTGTTTTGTTTTGTGGGGCAATAAGGGTTTAAGCAAGTTGCCCAGTGTCAAACTGTTAGTAAATGTAGAGTGTCTTAGGCCAGATTTGAACTCAGGTTTTCCTGACTCCAGGGCTAGTGCTCTATACTCTGTACTACCTACCTGCCCCTAATAATTGTTTTTTGATCCATATGAACCTTTTTTGTTGTTATTCATCTTCATGCTTTTTTTAAATTTTAAAACAAAGCAATTGCGTGCTTCAAGAAGAAATAACCAGTTACTCCCACACTGTGAGAGCCCTACTTTCAGACTGTTGGAGCCCTATCTCATAAGCTTGTGTTACAAAGCAAAATATTGTGCAGTTCCAGTTTTATGTGGGAGATTAGATCCAGCTTGGCCCTTTGTGAAGTCGTGTAGTTATCTCACCTCTGCGGAGGGACCTTAGAGTAACTCTTGTATTAGACAGAAAGAAACAAGGTATAGAATAACATGTTAAGCATGACTCAAAAAAGTGTTTTCTGACTAGAGATTCAGTGTTCTCTCCACATTACCATGCTTTTCTTTTCCTAATATTATTTTCTAAGCTTGAATGTCCAATGTCTTCCTGTTGCTCCAGTCTGCCCACGACTCTCCCCTGTGATTCCTGACCTGTCTGCCTTTTCCGGGCAGCGCCTTCCTAATATTCTTTGTCGGTGCTGTTGTTCAGTCATTTCACTTGTGTCCTACTGTTTGTGACTCCATTTGGGGTTTTCTTGGCAAAGATACTGTAGTAGTTTGCCATTTCCTTCCCCAGCTCATTTTACAGATGAGGAAACTGAGGCAAAAAGGGTTAAATGACTTTCCCAGAGTCACATAGTTAGTACTTGTCTGAGGCTGGATCTGAACTTAGGTCTTCCTGACTCCAGGTCCAGTACTCTTTCTTGTACTCCTTAGGAAAAGAAAGACTTCTTTGTTAGATACTATGAGAGTCTGCCATATTGAAATAAACTGAAAGTTCTTCTAGTCATTGTAGGGTGAAGGTGCTCCTAGGTGCTCAAAGACTGTTTGGGAAGAACACAAACTATAGCTGGGAAGAATATCTATCTATATCTATATAGATATAGATATACATACTTACATATACATATATGTATATACACATGTGTATATATGTAAAATATATATTAAATTTAACATTGCCCTGCTTATCTCTGTCCCCCAAACTTTCTTCTGTGTATTTAAAAAAAAGTTTCATTGACACGCTTTCTTGATATCTATTTTCTTATGGCAGTTTTAGGATCACTCCTAGAAAATTCACTGTGCCTACTTTCCAAAGTCATTGCCATCTGAAATGATTAGTGCACCTGAAGCAAATCTGCCTCTGGAATGGAGACCCTGAAGCAGTCTGTGTGTTCTAGAGATGACTGGTGGATCAATAAAAACTGCCTCAAAGAACACAGCACACAGGGTGGGGTGCTGCCCTCAGTTCTGTCTGAAGTTAGCTATAACCACCAGCCTCCCTAGCTTCCAGGATCTTGCATGGGAAGAGTGTGGTGCAAGAATGTCTGGAAAGTGAGACTTGTATAATGGGAAGCCAGGAGAGCTCAAGCCAAATATTTCTACCTGGCAGGGGCTGAATGATTGGAAAACATGAAGGCCCCTGGGGCCAGCTCATGGCAATGCTTTGGGGGGAATAAACTGGGAAGTGAGGCCCCAGGAACAGTGGGGGAAAAGGAGCTCTTCTGGGAAGCAGAAGAACATTCCATCCAGAGGCCTTAGGCCCCGTTGCAGCCTAGATTAGAATGGCAGGATTCATTGCCATGTGAGAATGCCTCCTAAAAAGGTAGGGTTGGGGGTGGGGTGGGGAACCTATTGGACATGACCATATTTTGCTCAACTTAGGTCTGTTTATTTTCATGCCCTTGTTGACTCTTAGATCCTGTTTTGTGTCCTCTGAATCATAATCACAGTGTTCTTTTCTGCTGGTATGTTAGCTGTAGAGATTCCCCCCTCCTCTAGGCTGTAAATTAGGAAGGCTCTGTTTTTCTCATAATGTTTCTTTTTTTTTTTTTCCACTTTCCTGGGAACAACTTGTTACTCTGGTGGTAACCATAGGGACTAGACAGATTTTTCAACAGCCTCCTCCAGTGATGTTTTTGCAGGCAGTGGCTATCATAGCCTGCAAGGATTAGAGTAACATGGCAAAGGGCTAGCCTCATTATTTACATTCTGGAAAACAGCATAAAGCAATCTGATTTCTATTGCATTCTAAAAACTTGGATGGGGACATGGCAGACTTTTTCATATCTTTGTGGCTCTTTTCTCTTTTATTCCCCTGGCCCTCCACAGGTTATGTTCCAAAGGAAATTTTGAAGTCTGAAGCCTCCAAACCTTACTTATTCTGTATGCATGAGCATGAGAAAGAGACAGATACTGAGAAATATATACAGACCCTGAGAGAGGCAGAGAAAGATGGAGACAGAGAGACAAACACAGAGACAGAAAAAGACAAAGAGATGGGGAAAAACAAAGAGAGGGAAACACAAGACAGAATGGGCTAGAGATCAAGAGAGACACAGTGAGAATGTAAAATTGTATTTGAAAATGTCTATTTCTGTTTGCTTGAAACCTAGTTTTTCTTTTGCTTTCCTTGATCCTTTAAAATGGGTCACAGATATTTTTTGAAGACACTCTATGTGAAAAACCCTTTTTAGTAAGATGAGAGGAGAAAATCCTTTTTTTCAACAGAACTATTTCAGGGAAGGGCCGTGCCCAAACAATACTCATAAACTTCAAATGTTTCTAAGAAGGCCTCAGTCTGAGCCTCATTACATAGGGGATTGATTTGCTATGGCTTGAATATATTTGGACTGCTCTTCCAATTAATTATTTTTTTCTAATGGCTTTTATTAGTTGATGTCTGCCTCTGCCCAGGATTTTGTAAAATGGGTAACTAGAGAAGAGTTTTTAGTGACTGATGCTAGCTCTCCCTTGACAGTAGTGTTAGAAACCAGGATAGTTCTGGGAAACTGAGCAAGTTGTTTAATGAATCATACTTTTTTTTTCTTCTCAAAATCTACTTTTGTGAAAAAGAGATAAATTATAAGAAAAGCCACTGAGGCTACATATTTATTTAAGCCATCAAATTCCAGGCTATGTGATTCCCTCCAATCAGAGAATGTAAAGCTGGAATGGCTTTAAGAAGAGCTCATTTGGAGTTTGGATTTGGAGTAGAGTATACTGGTAAAACTGGAGAGGGCGAAGAGAGAATCAAAGAGAAAAGAAGAAGGGGGTGGAGAGAGACACACACACAGAGACAGAGACAGAGAAACAGAGACAGAAAGATACAGAGAGAGAAGAGCAAGAAGAGGGAAAGGGAGAGGGAAGGACCCCTACAAGCCCCCAGCAGTGTTGGTTTAGAGACTAGACATTGGGCATTACAAGCTTGACTCCAGTGGCCAGCTCTTCATTTCCATTCTCCAATGCCAGCAACTGACATTCTTGCATGGTTTCTCTATTTATTTAAGCTGTTTCTAATTCTTTATTGATTTCACATAAAACTATGGTTGATCATAATTTCTTTGTGAGTCATGTTTGTTAATTCATATAGTGCAAGGGGATTACAATGGAGGAAAACAAGTGACTAGTTTGTGTTAACAAAGGAGTCAGGGAAGATTAATCTTCTCTGACTGTTGAGAATGGAAGGGAAAGTCATTCTTTTTTTTTTTTCTTTCTCCACTAACCCAATAGAAATTGAAACCAGAGGAAAAAAATGTGGTTTTGATCTTATTACTAAATCCTATAAGAGTTAAAAAACACTTATAGAGGCAGATAGGTGGCATGGGAAGAGTGCTGAACCTCAGAAGTTGGAAGACCTGAGTTCAAATGTGGCCTAAGATACCAGTTGTATGACCCTGGGTAAGTCACTTAAACTCTGCCTGTTTCTTCAACTATAAGAGAGTGATCACAATAATACCTATTTCCCAAGGTTGTTGTGAGAATCAAATAAGAAAATAGTCTTAAAGTGCTTAGCACAATCCCTGACACATAGTTGGTATTTAATAAATCCTTGTTTCCTTCCTTCCTTATAAGCTCCCCCAAAGAGATAAATGAATAATGTGTTTCTGGATCATTTATCCCTAGGTTATAGAATTAGTATGTTAGTAACCAAGAACGAAGTGGCTTAGAGAAGGGTATTTCAGTGATGTGTCGGGCCTTAGGAATGATGGGTGGAATACAGATGAAAACCTAGAAAATTTCATGCCTCCCAGTATCACCCAGATGGAGGAGGTAAGGTTTAAGAAGAGTAACCATTGTTCTTTGAAGTTTGGATTCAGTCAGAGGGCTGCACTTGAGGACCTAGAGGGCTATAAGTGGCCTCGAGGCTTCAGGTTCTCTAACTCTGATGGCACAGCTGTGCCACTAATCTATGCAATCTTGGCCAAGTCATTACATCTCTTGGGGTTTGAAATTGAACAACATTCAGCTGAAGTATCCCTCAACTTCAAAACACAGACATTTTTTTCCCCTTTAAAGAGAAATCATAATTTAAGAGAAAATTAAACAAGCCAAATGCATATTCCTGAATTGTTTTAGTTGATTTAACTTTTGCTTTAATAATACAAACAATGCTTTCAGAATATACATACATACATATACCTATACACATGCATATACATACACATATACATATAATATATGCATACACATGCACACATGTATGTATATGCACACACATACATATGTATATATACACATATTATTTTTCTGGCCTCTTTGTGACAACAGCTAACTTCCCAGCTGACTACATAGACATCTGACTCATCTTTGCTAGTCTGGAAGGGATTTGGCAAGACATATCCTCAGATGACTTTTGACCTTGGTATGGTGTAATGGAAAGAATACCAGACGTGGAGTCAGGAGAGCTTGACTTCCAGGCCAGTCTCTGACTCTTATCAGCTGTGTGACCATGGTCAAGTTATTTTATTTCTCTGAAACTCAGTTTCCTCCTGTAAATGGGAGTAATAATCTTTGTATTAATATCTCATAGAGTCATTCTTAGAACATTATAAATGTCAGGCTGCACACATACATTATACATATTCACACACATAATACATTCATACACAATACATACATGCATACATGCACACACACACACACACACACACACACACACACACACACATGAAGGAAGTTGGCCTGCACAGTATACCCTGCCAGCTGATAGCCCACATAAGGACACTGATGAGCCTGCTTCTGGAAGTGTATGATGACGTGTCACAGAGGAACCCAGACTAGGATTCAAAGCATGCCCAGTATTCTTCGACTATTTCTTGTACACTTACCTTTTACTTGACTGCCGAGGGAGAACCTGAGTGTATATAAAAGCCTTCAAAGGAGAAAGGAGCTTTCTTTCCTGATGGTAACCCAGGGAATAAATGCTGTAATCTTCTGGGTGGAGAGAGAGAGGCTTGTGGACTTTCCTTGTCTGGGTCATCATTTAAGTCCAGAACCTTGAGCTACATACAATTTCAACTAGGAGACAAGATAGAAAATAGCCTTGTTATTTTAATTTAGAGATGAGATGATTTTCCTAGATTGAAAGGGTGAAAACACAGTAATTACTGTATTTTACACAACTTAATGACGGTGAAGTTTTACAAATTAACTCCAGTCTTCGATACAAGTGATACTTTGTTTAAGTTGATCTCATAGGAGCTCAGAATTGGAAGAAACTTCAGAGTTTCTGGTCAAACCCGTATCCAACAAGGGGTCAGTTTTGTTCCATTTGAAGCCTCTGGTGAAAAGAAACTCACTGCATCTTAAAGACAAACCAGTTTACTTTGGGACAGTATTAACGGTTAGGAGGGTTTTCCTCATAATAGGCTAAATTCTTTTCCCCACACATATTCCTTCATTTTAATCTTGCAAAAACCTTGTGAGATAGATGCTATTATTATACTCATTTTATATATAAGACAACTGTGTAGGCTTAGAAAGGCAAAGTAACTCGCCCAGGGTGACATAGCCAGTAAGTGTCTGAGGCAGAATTCAAACTCAGGTTTTCTTTATTCTATTTGTCTATCCGCTGTGACACGTAGCTACCTGAGCAGAATATGCTCCAACAACAAAAATCTACGTATATTTGAAGCTAGGCTCTGACTTAGAACCATAAAACCTAAGTGCAAATTCTGGCCATTTACTAGTTGCATGACCCTGCATAAGTTATTTATTATTGCTGAACCTCAATTTCTTTATTTCTAAAAATGGGATTGGGAATACATGTAATGGTTATTTCGTGGGGTTATAACAAAAAAAGTGCTTAAAGTGATATATAAAGGGGAGATTTTGATTAGTGTGAGGTTGTAATCAAGGTAGACATCTGCTCCATATATGCTAGACTGGAGAGTACCTACTGGAACTCCGAGCATACAGTCTGGTGGGCAGGCCCCTTGCTAAAGTACATTCAAAGCCAAAACATGATCATGTGCCTCCTTTTAGCCCTGTAGTGGCTACAGAGAACCAATATCTGCCTACTCAGTAGAATTAAGGAGAGAGACAATTTCTGTCTTTTCCTCTTTCCTTTCTCTCTTCTGAACCTATGTTTTAGAACTGAGACAATTCTCTCCTGGAATTTCCATTAGGGATGGGGGGGGCTCCTCCCCCTCTACAGATATAATGGCTACTTACCCATGTTACTGAGAGCATGTAGCAGTCTAGATGAGATTGAGATTGGAAAATGTTTAACAAAATAAATTAAAATACAATACAATATAGATGATGTTAATTTGCAGTTTTCTAAATCAATATGCAACCCACAGGGATCTGTTTCTATTTGTTTGACACTACTGGACTAAAACATTGGGCTAATAGAAAAAGATGAAGTTCAATATGGATATAGTCTTAAACTTGAGTACAAAAATTCAACACAAGAAGTACGAGATGAGGAGGATATTAAACAGCTGTTTTGCTGAAAAAGGCCTGGGGGTTTTAGTGGGTAACAGACTTAATGCAATTCATCAGTGGGACACAGTATTCAAAAAAGCTAAAGTGATCTTGGACTGCATTGAGAGGCATATAACAATAAGGTAATAGTCCCACTGTACTCTGACCTTATCAGATCTCACCTAGAGTCTTGCATTCATTTCTAGGCACTTAAGAAGGGCATTGATAAACCAGAGAGTGTTCCCTGAAGAACCATCAGGATGGTAAATATTTTTAGTTCCCATGTGCTATATGCGTTCCCCTGTGCTATATGAGGATTAACTGAAAGGCCTCGAGTCTGTGCTATATGAAGATTGACTGAAGGATAAATAGCCTGGATTCAAGGAGAACATGATAACTATCTTTAAGCATTTGAGGGCTTATCATGTGGGGCAGCTAAATGGCACAGTGGATAGAGTGCTATCTGGAGTCAGGAAGACCTGAATTCAAATTTGGCCTCAGACACTACCTGTGTGACCCTGGGCAAGTCACTTAACCCTCTTTGCCTCCATTTCCTCATCTGTAAAATGAGCTGGAGAAGGAAAGGGCAAACCACTCCAGTATCTTTGCCAAGAAAACCCCAAATGGGATCATGAAGAATTAAACACAACTGAAAAACAACTGAACATCAAGAGTATGTGGAGTTAAGGATTCAATTTATTCTGCTTGGCCCCAGAGGGCAGAACCAAGAGCGACAAGTGGAAATAGAGAGGTGATCATCTAGGGATGGGGAACCTCTGGCCTCAAGGCCATATGTGGCCTTTTAGGGCCTTGGGTGGGGCCTTTTGGCTGAGTCCAAGTTTTACAGAACAAATCTGTTTATTAAGAGTAGGTAGATAGAGCACTAGAAGTGGAATTAGGGAGACCTGAGTTCAAATCCTGCCTCAAATGTTGATGAATGACCCTTAATAAGTTATTTAAACTTTTTGTGACTCAGTTTTCTCATCTGTAAAATAAGGGGGTTGGAACGGATGATCTCTATGGTCCCTTTCAGCTCTTTGTCTGTGAACTTATGAATAGTGAGATGACTGATGCCCTCCAAGAATTTACATTTTCACTACCTTTTCCATCACAGCTAAAGTTATGTCACCAGTGGCTGTCAGGGGAAAATGACTGGAATTAGGGTGGACAGAGATCTAATGAAACTACTTTTGGGGGTAATGAAGCATAGCTCTTGGGTGCACACATCAGGGAACACTTTTTATTCCTACCGTGAACATGCACAAGCATGTTTCTGGGCATCCAGAAAGTATGGGATTCCACCGGTGTTTAATGTCCCCAGGCATTCGAGTAAGAAAGCAAGCCTTTCCTATTCTTTCCTTCCTCCTCCTGTAGAGGGCTTGTTCTACATGCTACAGTAACAGATGGATAATGACTATTTTTTAAAATAATAATCTATGCAGACTAAGATTTTGAAAATCAAGAAAAATGGAGATTCTCTCTTCAAGTCACTTGGGGTGATATTTTTCACTTTCTCTATCTTTCAAAATTAGATTTGAATTTTCAACAAAAACAGCTAGCAAAAATAATTCGTGTGAGATATCAGTTAGAGAAAGCGGAGAGAGAGAGACAGAGAGAGAGAGAGAGAGAGAGAGAGAGAGAGAGAGAGAGAGAGAGAGAGAGAGAGAGAGAGAGAGAGAGAGTGAGAGAGAGAGAATCTCCAAAGAATTGCAGAAATTCAGAAGCTCAGGTTAACTTCTAGCTCAGTAATTTGCTTGTGCCTCCTCCCCTCCCCTTTCCACTTTGCACAGATTAGTGCATGAATGAATGAATTTTCTTGTCATTCATTTGTTGTTCATTCATCCATCCATCTGAGGACAACCACAGTTCCTAGATGAGAAGCGTTCATTATTTAATTATTTTTCAATTGTGTTTAATTCTTCACTACACCATTTGGGACTTTCTTGGCAAAGATATTGGAGTAGTTTACTGTTTCCTTCTCCAACTCATTTTATAGATGAGGAAACTAAGGCAAACAGGGTTAAGTGACTTGCCCAAGGTCACATAACTAGTAAGTATCTGAGGCCACATTTGAACTCAGGTCTTCCTAATTTCCCTCAGTGCTCTATCCACTGTGACACCTGGAAGCCCTATATATAACCTGGCTTCAAATTCTGTCTTTCATGCTGGTTACTTAGGATCTTGGGCCTCAGTATCCTCATTTGTACAATAAAGAAGTTGGACTTCATGGCCTGGGAGGCCCCTTCTAGTCCTAGATCTAGAATCATTACCTTCCATCTCTGCTTTATTTATCTTGTCTGTATATAGTTATTTACATCATGTCTCACCATTAGAATGTGGCTCTTTAAGGGCAGGGACAGTGTTTTTTTGCCTTTCCGTGTATCCCCAGAGCTTAGCACAGTGGTTGGTGTTGATTGATTGACTCTCTTAATACAGCCTAATTGCATTAAGTCATCACTGATGGAATTTTTCAAGCATTTGCATTCTCCTCCGTACTCAGGGAAGGAGACAGGTTTCACTGTTCTTCCATGTTCACTGAGAAGAAGGTTGATTGATTACGAACTGATCCTAAATCACCTAGTGCAGCCCTTTGATTTTGTAGATGGGGAAAGTAAGGCCCAGGGAGATTAAGCAGCTTGTTTAAATGATCTATCTAGTTAAAGAGGGAGCCAACCCTTGACCCTAGGTCTTCTGACTGAGTTCTGCATTCTTGTCACTATATGATGCTACTTTACAAAAGTTTTGGAGGACTGGTAGGATATATCGTATTCTTTTAGAATGAGGAAATGGAGACTAAGAGAAGTTAAACAATTTCCCCCAGCACACACAAGTGAGTGTCAGAGCTAGGGCTCAAACCCTGGTCTTTGACACTCAGCTCTGTGCTCTTTGCTCCACCCTGGGCGGCCCCTCCATTGCACTTTGTGCCTTTCTTTTTCTCTTCTGTGTATGTGTCTTTTCTTTGCTTGCCAGCATATCCAATCTGATGCCCTGCTTTGGATGAGCATGGGGAAAAGAATCTGGCAAACACAGCCTGAGCTGGCGTGGGGCGTGATGAGGTACTGTTGGGGGCATCATGCAAGCCCTAGGGAGAAGCAGGCACATGTTTGGAAGATACAGTCATGTCTTGATCTGTGATTATACTTGCAGACAAGATAACTTTTGGAAAGTCAGGGAAATGAGAATTTCCAAGAGAAAAATCCACGTAGGGCATGTGATTGGGCTGAAATCTCCATGGACAGCAAAGAGCTACACAAGTTCCTAATCAACTGGCCTTTGCCCAGCGAACATGGAAGAGCAATAAGGCCTGTCTCTCCACTACTCAGGAAAGTGCAAATACTTGAAAAACACTCTGTGACAATGGCCACAGTGACAATAACATGCCATGTGTTCTTCATCATGTGGACCATAGATAAAATTTGGGGAAAAGGTCAAGCAAAAATAAATTTTTAAAAACTCACTATACTAGGTCCTAGGGATACAAGTACAAAGAATGAAATAGTTCCTACTTGCAAAGTGCTTAAATTCTAATAGGGGAGAGAAAT